CTCTCTCTCTCTCTCTCTCTCTCTCTCTCTCTCTCTCTCTCTCTCTCTCTCTCTCTCTCTCCTTTTTTTTTTTAGGGGGGGTATATTTTATGTGTGGTGCTCCTAAAAAAATAAGACATTACAAAAAGGTGTGGGAGTGGGATGGTTGGACCTCCAAGGCAGAACATGCTGGAGAGCACTTAGACCCATTGCCTGGGAATACAGAATTAATGTTTTGCAGCCATAGCCTCCTAATGCAGTCAGCATATTAAAGAAACTTACTAAAGACTGGATTTACCTTGACAGATTAATTATGAAATTTATTTAAAAGAATAGTTCCAACATAAATTTGTAAAATCATTCTTTCATTCAACAGCATCAGTGGATTGGGTGCATGTGATTACAATGCCTGACCTATACCGAGGGCCTTATCAGGGTGATGATCCACTGGCAGTCAAGAAATACATAGCCAATGCGAGAGACATGCTTGATAAAATTCGCCTAAATGGAAGAAAGGTAAGATCTATTTATTCCAACTGTAGGCTCTGCTTAGGACACTGGTGTATTTACCTGCTTCAGGCTGATTGCTATTATCACTACAAAGTGAAAATGACATACTTAACCTATTGCCGACAGGCATGCCATGCCATGCCCACTGTGAGTTTACTTATTTGATTGTTTTTACACATAGATGGCTACACTTGTACTAAGCCACCAACAAGCCAATTACAACTACTGCCTGTCTCACCTGTTCACCCTTTCCTTTTTTACGTTATCTTATTTTGCTATTACTAATGTTTATAACATTATAGTAATTATAATGTTTATAATAAAAACAACACCATTGATATTCATAGCACTAGTAAAAAATACATTTTCCCGCCAATTCAAGAAAAGGTGAAATTAGGTAAGCCATCTATGTGTAGAGACATTTCACAGTAAATACAAAAAATGAGCACAACCTTTTCCCCATTTTTGATTCATTTTCCCCGGCAGCAGTGGGTTAATAAAATAATCATGATACCTATAGTGTCTGGAAACTACAAAACCAACTCTCTTCTCTCCACAGATTTCTTGCTTCATTGCAGAGCCCATGTTGACTATCCCTGGTTGCATCATTCCACCAGATGTTTGGCTCCAAGATATGTACAAGTATGTTGCTTACTAAAAATTAAGTGCCACATTCCATATTTTGGATGCTCTCTCTCTCTCTCTCTCTCTCTCTCTCTCTCTCTCTCTCTCTCTCTCTCTCTCTCTCTCTCTCTCTCTCTCTCTCTCTCTCTCTCTCTCTCTCCCTCTCCTCCCCCTCCCCCTCCCCCTCCCCCTCCCCCTCCCCTTTCTCTTTCTCTTTCTCTTCCTTTCCTCATCATTACCTTCATCTTCACTATTATTGTTGTCATTATAGTTGTTACAATTATTGCATAGTGTTATTGTTATTGTTACTACTGGTAACACTACTACTGGAACTACTACTATACTACTACTAATATTGTCATCATTCTTCTCATTATTATTACTGATCTCCCAACTTCTCTTTGTAACTAGAATGGTTCGAGATGCAGGTGGTCTGTGCATAGCTGATGAAGTACAGACAGGCCTGGGTCGCTTAGGTTCACATCTATGGTCGTTTGAAGCTCAAGGTGTCACCCCTGATATTCTCATCATTGGTAAAGCTATTGGTAAGTGAGCCATCTTCCCTAGTAAATACCAAAAACCCTCAAATCATATCACAGATAGCATTATTATCAACATTTGAATTCGTATTGTGATAGCATTAACCCATTCGCACCGGGTGTAACGTATACATGACGTGCCCACTGTGAGTTTACTTGTTTAATTGTTTTCACGTATAGATGGCTACACTTGTACTTGTACTGCCTGTCTCGCCTGTTTACCCTTTTCTTTAATTTACGAAAATATCTTACGTTATCTTCTTTTGCTGTTACCAATGTTTATAACATTATAGTAATTATAATGTTTATAATAAAAATAACCATTGATATTCATAGCATTAGTAAAAATACATTTTCCCGCCAATTCAAGTAAAGGTGAAATCAGGTAAGGCAGAGCCATCTAGTGTAGAGACATTTCATTAAAAAATATAAAAAATGAGCACAGCATTTTCCCTATTTTTTGTTCATTTTTACCCGGAGTAAATAGGTTAAAACCTAAATGTTGATTTTAGAATTATACATTAGTACTGGTACTTGTAATTTCCAATTGGAAGACTGAAATAAAATTGTAGCAGATTTAATGTAAGATTTTTACATGGTACTTCGTATGTAGACAAACTGAAGCATATCATAAAGAAAAGAACAGGTGTGTTGTATTCTTGCTTCATTGCAGAGCCCATGTTGACTATTCAGAGACACATCTCCTAGACACTGCTTATTCCTTATGTAGATGTCTTTCTGTGGAACATTCATTGCTTGATTTCTTTGTACATATTTTCTGTTCTTAGTTTAGCTTTTTTTATTATAGAGATTGTATAATTATTGCACTTGTATGCTGGCTCAGATGATATGTGGAAAGAACATCCATGATATATTTCACATACTGATATCAAAAACAACTGTGCTCGTCCAGATCAGCAATGTTTTCAAGAACAAATATATCAATATTCTTTAGATAGTCAAAGCTTAAAAAAATAGATAAATGAAAAAATAATGGAGATCCTTTCAAGGATATCCAACCAAAATTTTGGTCTAAATATCAGACAAGATATTTTTAACAATTTCAGGATGTCAGAACAAGATTCCTCCCATCAGGTTCTGTGCCAGAGATAAAAATGTGGGATATAAAACAAAAGATTCTAGAGCAAAATAGACACTAAGAGATCAAAAAGTATCTCAGTTTTTGTTAAGCTGTTCTATTCTCTATTCTCTGTTTCAAGCTGTTCTATTCTCTATTCTCTGTGTTCAAATAGCACAGCATCAAATACACTCTGGGAGAGGTATTGAATGTACCAATGTACAAAACCAGCATGTCTTGATAGAGCATTTGATATGTGTTTGTAAGTAAATCCATTACATTCAGCAAGGTTTGTGGGCCACATGCAATTGATGTATTTTGAATTTTTTAAGTGTTCATGGATGATCATGATATATTCATCTTGGATAAAGTTGACCCTCAATATCATCAGGTGAATGATTCCATGACCCACTGCAAATGCCAAAAATTGATGGATGCTCAAATCTTTCATATGAAATAGTATAATATTAACATATAGAATACATATCTTCTTCCATATACTTTAAATCAAACTATATAGTACAAGCCACCAACAATGTTGTTTAGTTTCCTCTGAGAGGAATACCTCAAGCATGCAAGAAAACATAGTTAAGATAAAAGTATATATTGAAAATATAAAACTAAACACTTCCATGAATTTTAGTATATTGCTGGTTCTTTGTGCAAATGCTCAGTTCATTCTTACATACCTTATATCCACTTTGGGAAGTAACATGCCACTTTTCAAAAGATAGTCTGTATGATAGTATTTACTCATCAAGCAATAGCACTTTGCATTGCTTTTAGTCTTTGAGAAGTAGTTTTGACCAGCTCAGTGTTTTTAGGAGCTATTTTTCACAGAAACAAAGGCAAGCAGCAGACAGGTGAGACAGGGTGAACAATGTTTCAATGAGTGCTGAAGGGAGATTGAGGATCTGTGAAATAGAAGGAGGCTAAAGCAGGGGATGCCAACACATAATTTAAATTACTTGCATTTGGTATAATGCTCATCACATAGCAGATTAAGGTTTTATTTTGATGTTGGTCAAGTCTGAAAATATGGACTTTAGGGGTATGGAAAGCCACATTGAAGAAAAACATTCAAATCCTCTATAAGAAAAATTCATGGCAATAGAAAGATGAAGTAAAGGGAAAATGTCAAACTCTCTTCCCTACAGTAAATACAAAAAAAGATTGAGGGTATATACCTGGTGCCTCTTAGGAGGAACAGAGAAGAATAGAAATATACATACAGGATTTGCAGAGTTGGTTATGCAGCTCCAGCATCAGTACAAAAACAAGCATAGTGCATAAACCAGGGCAGTTATTGGCTACAGTTAGGCTAAAAATAGCAACCTCCTGGTCATGGTCAGATTTGCATATGGATGAAGATGGTGACATGCTGACATAGAGCTATTAACTTTCTCTCCTATTACAGGTAATGGGTATCCAATGGCTTGTGTTGTAACATCCTCAGATATTGCAGCTCTTCTGGGAAGCAGAATTAAAGAGGTAATTATTCCTTTGGTTATGACATACAGATATATGCTCTCACTCACTCATTGTTCTGTGCTGAAGGTGTGCTGATGAATTGTCTTTTGCATATATAACCCTTGACCAAGTAATATATACATATATATATTTTTTTTTACAACAGTATAAGTGCACAGCAGTGATGAACGCTGTGGGCTGTGCTGTGCTGGATATCCTGCACCGCGATCAATTTATGGCCTCTGCAGCAACTGTAGGATCCTTTCTACTAACAGAGCTGTCAAAGCTAAGAAGAAAACATGAATATATTGGTTAGTTATCTTTGTTGATAAAAGACAATTCTAAATTAGTCTGTCTGATTGATTGCTTAGTTCTCTCTCTCTCTCTCTGTCTCTCTCACTGTCTGTCTCTCTGTCTCTGTCTCTCTGTCTCTGTCTCTGTCTCTCTGTCTCTCTCTCTCTCTCTCTCTCTCTCTCTCTCTCTCTCTCTCTCTCTCTCTCTCTCTCTCTCTCTCTCTCTCTCTCTCTCTCTCTCTCTCTCTGATTGGTCCATCAAATTGATATTATTCATATGATTATTTTCACTACTTGAAAATTGAAAATGTGAGAAATGATATGGGGGAAATGGGAGACAGTGCTGAGAAATCCCATTTAAGTTCCATCAGTGAACTCCATCTATTTACAAAGTATCTTTCATGTATGGCCAGTGTAAATTTTTTCATTTATGTATTCAGGTGATGTCAGAGGAAGAGGTCTGTTGTTTGGAGTGGAAGTGGTGTGGAATAAACAGAGCAAGAAGCCTGCTAAAGAAATTGCAGAGCAAATTGTGAATAGGTTAGTATTTTTGTGCTTGTGATATCACAAGTTTGCTTCCATTTCTGAATTGTTTCAGTGCTGAATTGATTTCTTCCATTGTAATCTTAATCTTTGTAGAAATACCTTTCTGTGCTTAATTTATTTCTTCCTCTGTGTTATTTAACTTTGAAGAATGTAAAACCATCAGATTTTACTTAACATTTGCAATTATTTTGGTTTATCTTTTCCGTTTCAGAATGAAGCAAGAAAATATCCTCCTTGCCAATGAGGGAGATCACCGAAACATTCTGATGATTATGCCTCCCATGTGTTTCACCCAGGAGAATGCAGTTCTTTTAATTGAGAAACTGGATAAAGTCTTCACAGAATCATACAGTCAGAGATTTGTCAGAGACCGTGTGACAAGTATACCATCTTTAAACCAGTAAGTTGTGTCTGACTTAAAATAAGCATGACTTCAAATAATGTGAACAGAGTATATGTATGTATGTGTATATATATTTGTATTTATGTATTTACATATTTATATATATATACTTATATATATTTATATATATATTTATATGTATTTATATATATTTATATATTCATATATATATATATGTATTATACACACACACACACACACAAACACACACACACACACACACACACACACACACACACACACACACACACACACACACACACACACACACACACACACACACACACACACACACACACACACACATACTCGCACACTCGCGCACACGCACACACACACATACATATACATATACATAAACATAAACATAAATATATATATATTTTTTTTTTCTTTTCTTTTTTCAGAGGTCTCATATCATTGCTTTAGTAATTAATTATAAGTGAATTATCAAGAAAACCCATGACACAATAGGTTGCCCTTGCCATTGTATGACCTACCATAATATATACATACAGATCACACATATATGCCCATGCTTATATACACCCACACCCACATTTGTATACATCTTTTATTTGTTAATCATCTCATCTTTTTCATGACAGAAATGTTCAAGCCATCCCAAGTGTGAGTGATGGGCGCCTGGGCATCATCCAGCCACAAGAGGAGGAAGATGATGAATTAATAGCGGCCTCAAGAGATACAATGGACCTTGAATATGCTCAGCATTGCTATCATGACCTTGACTAAATCTAGTTTTCTCCTATATGTAAATTTCTTTTTTGGTCCAGAGTTTTTGTAAGAATATATAATATATACCCTATTCTTTTCTTTTTTCTTGGAAATAGATTCCCTGCCCCTCTTTGTCTGTTTTCCTTATTTCATCATTTTTATTGATTTTATAATTTATCCAGTACTTACAAAGAAATATCTTCATCATAAACAAGTTTGTTGTACATCGAAAAGTCTTGAATGAAAACATTGCAATTTGCAATTTGTAATACTGATCATAAGTGCCTATGTAAGGGATATAAATGAAAATGGTTATTAAATGATGGTTACTAGAACTTAAAAAAAAATCCATGCAACTGTTATATTTATTAAACTCAAATTTTTTATGTTTTATTAAACTTTGTAGGTACATAATTGTAGATGGCACACTGATCAATGGCTCAACTTTACTAAATATTTCAGTGTTCTGTAACAGGATTATTTATCCTCTTTGCAATAAAATGTACTCAAATTCTAATCTAACATTATCTTCTGGTACAAAAATGGACTATTTAGAATGTATTAAACATAAAAAGGAAATGTATGTCAAAAGTATCGCCTTATTTAAATTCATTAAACTTTTTTTTTTTGTCATCTTTGTCTAAATGGCATTTCTGTTATACAAAGTTTGTTTTAGTAAATATAAGATAGTCTCTCTTTCTGATGTCATTGCTACCTCTGCTACCATGAGAGTATCACAAAAGAGTGGCAGGGGCTTTCTTATTGCATGGCAGTTGTTTTTTTTTCTGTGTATGTACAAAGTGTTCTTGTCTTTTGGTTTGTCTGATTGTACATGTTGTCAGTGGCAGGTTTGAAATAATGATTCTCATGTGTGACTGGGATGTTTGCAGAACTGTGATCAAAAACTGGCTTATGTGCCGGTGATCTATGATATATTTTTTTACTTTGTTTTTAATGCTGATAGTCCCATTATTACCAATGTACATATATATTCCAGCAATTTGATATGATGAACATCTGTTCCTTCTTGATATGTCAGTGGTCACAAGTAATTAGGAGGAGCTATTAATATAATAAATTGTATTTATTTGTGTGTTTGTTAGGGAAAGCTTTTACAAGTGTATAAGAAAATTAACATCACTTGTCTGAATAATCTACACCTATAATTGAATGAAGGCATGAGAGGGGTTAGTGCCAAATAAATAGTAGAAGCCCAATAAGAAAAAATGAATTTGTTTAACCCATTCGCCCCATGTGGCTAGAATACATGCCATGCCCACTGTAATACACGTTTATTTATTGTATTTATACATAAATGGCTCTACAAGTTCTTATTCACTAAATAGCCAGTTTATTAGAACTACCTATCTCACCTGTTTACCCTTTTTCTTCACTTTAGGAAAGGGTCTTTTGTATCATTTCATTGTCTAAAATATTTTAATGACAATTTAATAATCATAACATCATAACATCGATAGCAATGGTATTAATCCATTGCCGTCGGGGAAAATAAATAAAAGATGCGGAAATACTGTGCTCATTTTTTATATTTTTTGTGAAATATCTCTACACATAGATGGCTCTGCCTTACATGATTTCACCTTTCCTTGAATTGGCAGGAAAATGTACTTTTTATTAGTGCTATGAATATTAATGGTGTTATTTTTATTATAAACATTATAATTAATATAATGTTATAAACATTAGTAGTAGCAGAATTAGCTAACGTAAAATATTTTTGTAAATTAAAGAAGAGGGTGAACGGGCGATACAGGCAGTACTCGTAATTGGCTCATTGGTAGTTTAGTACAAGTATAGCCATGTATGTGTAAAAACAATCAAACAAGTCGACTCACGGTGGGCATGACATGTACATACATGCCATGCCTGTCAGGAAAGGGTTAATAAAAAAAAGACATTTTCCCGCCAATTCAAGGAATGGGAAAATCAGGATCGGTAGCTAGGGCCTACTGATAGACTCCTTGCCAGCTGAGCACATGTGCAGCTGTCTATAAATTCTTAAATTCACCAAAAATTGCAGGGGACAGAACATAAATCTGGGGCGAATGGGTTAATGCTATGGGTATGCTACCACATAACTGTTATAAATTATATGGTGCTGTTTAGTCCACATTAACAAATTGATTTCAGTTCTTTCATGAATAGGTAATGAAGATTTATTTCCAGCATTTACATTGTAAGATAATACACAGTACTAACTCATGATCATCTCTGGAGACTCATATTGTTCAATTTTGTTAGCATTTACCCATAGCAATATGTTATCATCAAATATCTTGGTCTTTTATTGTTTTTCCTCTTGAATGGTCTTAATTGTTCAGTCTTACAGTTTGTTAATTATATATGATGTGCTGGATTTCACTCTTCTTCATTGTCATGTACGAGTTAGTAAATTGTGAATGATTACAATCTCTTGAGCACCAGGTAGTATGATATGTTTACAGAGACTTTTTTTTAAGTGGCAAAATATATTGTGTTTGTAAAGGAGAATCAATACATGTACTTCTGCATGAACATCAGTAACTGTCTTTCTGTTTTTTCTTTACTTTTTACTTTTTATAGTATTGTGTTCATGATGTTGATATAACCAGTGTGTAAATCCTTTATGTAACTGCATGCTGTAATGAGAAGAAAGTGAGTGAATGTTAATTACATGGGTTACTGAAGATAAGCACTACTGAGCTTTAATAGTTAACATTGAAAATTAAACAAGAAATTTGATTGAAATTGAAAGAGGATGGAACTGTGTGGTAAAGCATTATTTCTTGTGACTATTGACACTAGCCTGTGCTATTTCAACCAAATCCATTCATATGCAAGACTGTTACTTCACTTTCATTCTATGAAAACCTTTTTAGAAGTCTTCGTGACAGGTCTAAATTTAATTATAAGAAGTTGACCTTAATGACAAGAAGAGTAGTTACTATTATAAGATTTTCATTGTACTTTGGGGGAAATGCATAATAGATCATTGTAAAAGTATGCAGCTGACATCACATGGCAAATGTCAGAAGAGTAGTAGGAGTTCATGAGCTAATTAAAAATCAAGAGGCTCCAGTATAAAGTCTGTCATTTCTCATGTTTAAGGCTGCTAATGATTAGACCTTTAGGCATTTATGTAATAAGATACTTGGTAACTTGGGCCATTCAACTGTGGGATGAAATTGAGTATAATTTTAGTTAATGAAACAGGCTTGAAGAATATACAAATCTGAAAAAACTTGTCTATAGAAAGCTTACTTTAAGTAAAAGGGTTTTTTAGTCAATTTCCAAAGAAAAATGATTGTAATGTTGATGTTAGTATTCGATAACATTACTTAAACTATCAATTTGAGTGATCCCTCATTTCTGATAATTAAACACTCAAAAGAGGATCTATCAGTAGCTTAACATTTTATCAAGATTTTAGTATTTCTACATTTCATATACATGAAATATCATGTAACCTAAACACTCAGATAGTAAAGATCAGAGTATGAAGATTTAACTAAATATTCTGGCTGTGTAATGGTGAAAGCTCATCAGCATCATTTTTGAAATATGTAAGCACCACTCATTGTAAATATATTAGTCAATTGGTGAAATGAAGATTACTTGATTACCTGATAAAGGGCAATTTAAACTTCGTCTATTGTTAGAAAATTATTAACAAATAGAAGTAAGCTCGTGTCCACTAAATCTAAACTTAACCTACATAATGCTGTGGTTAAGAAATCAAACTCTACAATATGTTAAACTGTATATTGTGTTTATAATAGGTGGAATGATGAAAATGCTGTCAATAAATGTGATATTTCTGTTATACTAACATGCTTATTAAATCCCTGAATTTCTACACATGACTTCACTTTTTTTTTTCTTTCTTTCATTTTTTAATTATTAAATCTTATTAAATTCTTATTAAATATATATATATATATTTTTTTTTACATCATTTTGACCACTGACAGTTTTTAGTTCATACATTTATATCTTTTATATCTTTGCTTCAATCCTCCTGTTTCACTAGGCAAGGTCACATCCAGATAACTGGGTATGGACAAAATGGACAGGACTAGGAAAACATAGCACCCCATGGTCATAGTTGTACATTCAGCGGGTCTTCAGGAAGGGGTTAATTAACATTGCTTACTGCTCTAACTAAATAAACTATGGTGCAATATTTTATATGTACTGAACTTCAATTGCTGTAGGAAAGAAAATGAAAGAAAGAATGGTTAATGGTAAAAAAATGAATATGCTAGGCATCATAGGTCATGTAGCACTATAGGAATGCATAGGATTGGAAAGGGTAAAGAGGGAGATGAGTTGTGATTATGTGCTACACGTCAGCAGTCATACAGTAGTAGGATGGAGTATAATAATAATAATAATAATAATAATAATAATAATAATAATAATAATAATAATAATAATAATAATAATAATAATAATAATAATAATAAAAAAAAAAAAAAAGAAGAAGAAGAAGAAGTCAAGAACTTGCCAGAGGGATGGTATTGGAGTGGAGAACCATATAAGAAGAGTGGGCTTTGGGGACCTACATGTGCTGAAGTCAAAAGGATGGAGAAGAATTTAGGGGTAGAAAAGTGAAAGCCATCATTAGTGGCCTAGGAAGATACTAATGATTGCCTCTGGCAAAGATGGTTAATTCATCCACGCATAGTAGAGGTGAAACAATGCCATTAACAGCAAGAGAGAATATGGTGGTGCTGAATGCACTGCCTTGTGGGACATCTTCAAACTGAGGAAAAGATGATGGTGTGGAGGAGGCAATTTTTACCTGGAAAGTATGTTTGGAGAGGAAGAACTTTGTAAAGATCAGATCAAAGTTGTTAAAGGAAGAAATGTGGGATTTTGCAAGAATGCCCATTGGGTATGGTAGAATTAGCAAAGGAAGAAGGGGGTTTTAGGAGTGATTAGTTCAGTTTCAGGAGATATGTCAGGATGGAGAGAATCCAGGAAAGGGGATTGTTGTGACAAAAAGTCACATGTATATCCAGGGGGAAGCAGAAGGGATAATGGGGAAATAATGTCACTTCTGGACCCAGTGCTCTTCCAGCTATGGCTCACAGATGTTACATTACACCCTCATTTAGTGATGGAAACAATGCAACAACCAGCCCCTTCCTAAATGGCCATTGAGTCTAGTCTTCCTCCAAAAGTTCTGTACACTTCTTGTAAATCATTCCCATCATGTCATCCTTCAGATGAATCTTTCATAATGGTCTGTTCCTGTCACCTTCTGTCAGGGAGATCCAATTGATTAAATGATTTTCAGCAAAAAAGAGAACAAAGAATCAATAACAATTTTATTTTTCAATGAGTTTGAACAGAATCACATTTCTAACTTACCATATTTCTTAAATGTTTTAGCTAACCTTTATCCTTTCACTTTCAAAATTTTAGAAGTTGCACTTCTAACTGTAATGTCATCAAAACTTCACTAAACTTCCTGTCAAATCAGACTGAAGTTTCCTAAAATTTTAAACAAAAAGAAAATATAATTTTGTACTCTGTTAAAGACATCTAGTTAAGAAGTACAGAAAACAAATTTCTAGGAACAAAGGAACATCAGAACAGTTCTATTCACAGGATAATTAAATACTACAATCAACCCAAACATTATATGAAGGGAGATGTGACAGAATAACACCTCTATACTCAATATATATTCACTGACTTTTGTCCATACTGCAGTTGATAAAGAAATACTGTGGCATAACTGTTCCTCATACTTTTCCCATATACATATTAATTAGTATAAAAATACAAAATTCTTGGTATTAAAGAAGGCTACAACTTCATAGGAACAGTAGACAGCTGCTCTGCTTGATTCATGAGCTTGCTGATGAGGAACAAGTCATGCTCCTGAAGTTTACAGGTCATCCAACTGGAAGAAAATTTTAAATGTCAAGGTAATGAGTCTTATCTAAAAATGTAATATACTGAATAGCTTTCATGTGAATTCTATTAAATGTATATAATTCAAAGTAGAGGATGAAGAGGAGCACAAGGCTTATGAGTAAATGAAGAACAAGGAAAAGAAAGAAATAAAGGAGGTACATGAAGCATAATACAAGACGAAAAAAGAAAGAAAGAAAAAAAAGTGTAAAGAGGAGAAATAAAGAAAAGTAATTCCAATGATACTGACCAGATCTTCCATATCATCACTGGCCTCGGGTTTTGGAGGTGGTGCTTGCATCTCAACCTCCACCTGCCAGAAAGCCTCAGCTTCCTCTGCACTGACACTACTTCTCATGTTTTCATTGCTTGAGATTAAGCCGTAGTTACCTGCAGCCAAATACAATGTTAAAATAATTCTACTAAAATTCACTTTGCATATTGTATCTCATCAACTGTACAAGACTGCTAAAACCTTTGCAAAACCTGACTAACCTTCTTTGACACGACTCCAAAATTCGTTCAATGACCTTGTCGTTACTGTGTCCTTCATAGAGGTAATGAACTTGTTGTACACCGCAGGATCTATGCCACATGACTCTCGACGGAAGTTCTCCAAGCAGTCCAAGATTTTGGTGGTTACAGCAACACTGGTAGCACCACCACCACCAATACTATCTAACAATTGCATCACCACATTTCCAAGCTGACTGCAAACTGAAATACATTTTTAAAAATTCATATTGTTTAGAGGCAACATTTAAAATCTATACTGCTCTAATAAGTAACTAGTACCATTATGGCATTTTGATCAGCAGAAAATTTTCCTCCACCACTACTTCTACAATCCTTAACCTCTGAAAGCTCCGAGGAAAACTACATAAAAGGTTACTTATCAACAGTGGTAAGTAGTAGGGTATGTAGAGATAACTGGCTATCTTCTGCTGACCAAAAATTCCTCTCTAAATGTTTACAGATTTCATCATGCCATGGATGAAAATAATATTGGAATAATCATTATATCTCTACTTTTTTTTTCTAATCCTATGCAACAACTGCTCAAAATATGAACCCTTATCAGAAAAAGGCAAGAATCATCAATTTTTCAATATATATAGGAATGAAGGGAAAAAGCACGCATACATGCACACAGACACATATTCCAGTTAACAGAAAAATCAAATATTATTATCAACAGAGGAGAAAGAAATACTAACTGAGGTTGAAGTTTGGTGCTTCTCCACCAAGAAGAGCCATGAAGTCCTGAACGGGAGTAGTTGAAGTCACTTTAGTTACCAAGGGTCGAGTCAGGTCACCTGCACTTACATTGTCATCATCATCTAGCTTTATTTTCTTGTCAGCATGACTGTCACTGTTGTTCAGAAGACAAAGGTTAGAACTAACAATGATATATAAAGCATAAATATATATATATTTTTTTTTTTGCCAAAAATCTTATTTCCAGCAGCTAAATATGTCTTCAGGTGGAGTATATCTGCTACACTAAACCTACAAGCAGTCCTTCTAATAGGCAGGTGATGGTAGCATCATTATTTACTCTGCTTTATTTCTATTCATACCTTGAGAACAAGTCAGCCTTATCCTTTGTCTTCTTGACAACTCTCTTGGTTGGGAAAGCAGCCTGAAGCGAAGGTGCTACTCTATCCCGACCTTCACACAGACTCTCAGGAGGCTTTAGGATGTTCTGCAAACAGAGATTTTTTTTTTACCAATAAAATAAATATCAATTAAATACAAACTTCACAACTCTCTATATATCAATCCATAATGTACCAAAATTTATCCTACATCATAATTCATAACCAAGTAGTTGAAAAGTCTCAATGATAAATATCAACAGCACAGTGCACAGAGTGAGTGTGCCTGCTGGATGCACCTGCACAGTCAAATTTGCAAGCCAACTTTAAAATACTCAGTTCCAGGTACCTTTACAGGATTAAAAACAAAGCAACTCACCAGAACATGATCAGCAGGTGGAGGAAGTGGATCATGAGGGTGGATGGCACGATGGGTCAGAACATTATAATAGTGTTGGAGCTGAGGGTTCAAAACTGTAGTTGGCTCGAGCTCCTCCTCATCACTGAAATGAATGACTTTTAAGGTTGTATGAATGAAAGCATGCAGTGTGCTATATATGCATAGAAATGGCCTATAATTATTCATGCCTGTGTATCAAGTATAGTATCAAGCTGGGATTCTATCTGGTAATACAGTAGCAGCATTCTAGTATGATAATATAAACCACGTTATTAATCCATTGGATTCAGATGCCTTGCATATAAACCAAAATCTGTGCATTTGGCTTCCTTGAGTGGCAACTCTACCAGGTGTGTGGCTTGTTGGGCCAGGATACACAACACTTGTATGCAGTTTTAAGACTCCTTGCCTGCTTTTTGTAATGCTACTACCCCTTTTATCTTTTATCTTTTATTTCCATTTTGCCAATTTTGAGGCCTACATTTGTTATTGGTTATGTTGTATCAAGATGATAATATTGCTTTTGTTGAGCAGAATCCATATTATCTCACCCTGGGAGTTTACACTTGTAACAATAAATTACAATTTGTTATTAGTAGTACTCTTTATGTATTGAAGGATGGTAAACTTCACCCTCTTGAAGACCATTGGAAATCCTGCTGGAGCTTGCGAACAAGCCTCTTGCTGATGGCCCAGCGAGTCAATCTCATTCTAAGGGCTTTGTGCACTCAAGACAAGACATCCCATCACCAGACACTCAGAAACAATTTCCCTTGAGACATTTCTGTCACCTGTCCTTTGGCCAATTTTTTCTCAATGATGTTGAGACAGGTTAGGAATACAATTTTGAAGTAATTTCTTAGCAAACAAAATGCCTAAGAAAAGTATAAAAAGAAATGA